AAATTATTGATCGTCGCTCATAGCCAATCAAAATCGAGGATCATCCGTGAAATTTTGGTGCGGCAGCTAGGTTCAATTGACAGGGTGTTTACTTGGATACATTTATGTACCCTATCGCTATGTACCCACCGCCCAAAATGGAAATGATCATTATTTATATGATTTCGTTATTTATTGTTTTTTAAAAAATTAGTGCTAGGGTTAGTGTTAGGTTAAGGTAAAAAAAAAAACCATACTAAAATTTCGCAAGGAATTTTTGTTAAAACGCAGAAAATAGTTTCATAAGCGAAATGATCGTTCATGTAAATTCGATGTGACGGACACTGATTGGATAAAAAGCGTGATTTCCAAATCGGGCGGTGGGTACATAGATGGCACGTACCCAGATGTACCCGGGGTAGTTGTATATTATCACGTGATAATCTGAATATATATATATTAACACTGCAATAGTGAAACACTGCAGTAATGAAATACCGTAAATCAGAATGGAAACGATAACTTTAGTGCTCATTGGCACTATTATAGCAATACAAATCGTTGGAGCCTTTATATTTTTAATTAATAAAGTGAAGAAAATGCTTCGTGAACCACTTCAAGCTTGGAAAGAATTGAACAAACCAATCATACGTCATTTTCGTCCATTGATTTATTCATATTTGATTGGAATTAAAAATCCGTTTGTTAAATGCATTCGTAAATTTTAATTATTTTCTCAACTCAAGGTTTAGTATAATGTGATAGAACAATGAATTTATATAACAATAAAATAATTTATCTATTTTATCTATTTATTCAAATAAATACATGAAATAAGATATGCGTATAACAAGTCTCGAGGAAGGATCTTGTTCAGGAGTTTTAAAGGTATCAAAGCTTGATACTGGTTTAACCATTCGAAAAAATAAATAATCATCAAAAAAAAATTGAATTTGTTCAATAGGAACAAAAAAAAATACATAACCCGTTTAATAGCATTCATGCGGCAGCCCTTTGCACGTTTGCCGAGACGATTGGAGGACTTGCTGTGCTTACTAAATTAACAAAAAATCATAGGGCTATTGTTACAAGAATTAATATAGAGGTTGTTTTTTCCAACCGTATAATTTTTTTTTTTATATATTTATTATACAGTATATTATTATTACTGGATTATTATTAATCAATTCATCTTTTACAATAACAAAGTATTATAAAAAAGCAAGAGGTGAATAATGATATCAATGATTCTTTATTTATCAAAAGAAGAAATTAATTTAATAATATATATATATATAGGAATAATTACAGGTACTAGTACTTTTAATCCTGAAGAATTGATTGGAACTCAAGAATGTGAAACTATTCTCAAAGATCAATCATCTGACATTGTCGCGAAAACAACCATATTTTGGAATATTCGTAGCTCTTTAAACTTGTGATACTAATGTTTGTAATCAAAATTGATCATATGAATAAAATTAAATTTTTTTATGACCTGTTAGGATAGCAATCTGGTACTACTCAATAAGAATTTAAGCTTGAAATTACATCACAGATAAATAACAAAATTTTAAGGGTTGTAAATCCTTTTTGTTTTGAGTCATAGGTTTTATTATTTATATACTTGAAGTATCGTATAATAATAAAATAGTATAAACATTATTCCGTAAAATATGGTATGTAAAATATACGGAAACCTAATGAAAAAAAGTAAAAACGAAGTGTTATGCACCATCGTTATATTTAAAGTAGATAATATTATTTTTGAATAAGAATAATAATACTATTTTTGAATGCTTTCTTTGAATGCTCTTTTTGAATGCTCTCTTTGAATGCTCTCTTTGAATGCTATTTTGAATACTATTTCGAATATCATTATTGTATATTCAACTATTGTTTAAATATTATGTTAGACAGTAAAAAAAAATAAATCAGATTTTTCTACTACCAAAATAATCACATGTTAAAATGATATTAAGTAACATGAACATAAAACTTTGTATTGTTGACAAAGCAATTTTTTGAAACATTTAAAAAATAAAACGAGAGAAATTTATAAAGGCATTCAAGGAAGGAAGAAAAAATATATATATACGAATTACGTGAACGTCACAAGTTCAAAACCAAAAAAAAGTAAATAACTTTACATGAAAGTTGAATAAATCCACCACGCTTTCTAACATCTTTCCTAACATGATATAGCACGTCAATATTTATTGTAAAAGTTGTAAAAGATTAAGAAAATTTATTTATAAATGAAAAATAAAAAAAAAACGCAATAGTGAAAAACAAAAATAAAAAAAAGAGTAAAATGAATGAAAGTAAATTACTCTGAGATAAAAATCTATATTTTTTTTACTTGGTCAACGATAAAATCAATTTGTTTGGACATTCGATAAAGAATCGTCCGAATGCTTGCGCAAGACTTTTACTACAGCACCGAAAACCGGATCGTCACTCTCTCTTTCCGCTTCGCATGTGAAAATAAAATCTTGCAGTTGTGATTTATCTGTGCATTCTTTCTAATTCTGGTCATTCCTCTATTAACAAATCAAAATAGGCACGAACATCATTCAAATTCATAGATTCACTTTGTAAATTATTAGTTGCATCTGAAAAAGATTTGAGCCGTTTAATTAAACAGTCAACTTCATTGAGATCTAATTGTTCCACTAATGAAATATCACGACCTATACGTATACGGTAATATGTAATACAAATAAAATAAAAAATAAAATAAAAAAAATTAATAAAAACAAATAAAAAAAATAAAAATAAAAATAAAAAAATCTAAAAAATCTTAACCCGAGAATCCGTTGGCTTGAGTAACGTAAGGAACAAGTTTCTTACATCGTTCAATCATTTTCATAACACTCATCCATCGGGTTACATTGTCTAATATAGGTTTCAAAGATATCATCTTTGCTACCATCGCCTTTAACAATAATTTGATCTTTTTTGATTTAAAACTTTCAACCCTTTCCAATTTAATACTTTCAAATTTTCTCTTAATCAAATTTGCAAGTTTTCCACGGTTCTTATATGTTCGCATCATATACATAATTGCACGAATCTGGTTCACGAGGGTGGACGCGGAATTAATCAGATCGTTAACAGCTAAATTTAGACGATGCCAACAAGTGGAAGATCTAAATCATTAGCTACTTTCCGGTTGGTATTACAGTTGTTTCCTGAAGAAAAAGAACCTTTTTAGCACTTTTGCCGTATGATTTTAAAATGTCCTCAAGAAACTTAACATGCGCACCTACATTTTGAGCAGTACGATCTTCAAATGGCGAAAATGCCAGCAGGACCAAATTTCTAGGTTCATGAACGGTTTGATAGACCAACAAAGTGAATGCCATTACTCTTTATCCATTAAAAATAATTCCAATTTTTTCTGGTAAAATGCGTTTCACTTTCTCTTGTACAATATCCGCCAAGCTACCAATATACTTGCCAACCGTAGAAACATCAATTTCAAAAGACTAGTATGTAAGATAAAATCGACATTACGGCGCATTTGCGAACTACCGTAAATATAGATTTTGACAGAGATAATCAACATCCCCCAAGTCATAATGCGTCATTTAATAAATTCCTATGTCTAATGAGTGTGGGAAAATGGGTTAACCCGTGGGAAAGATGGGTCAGACGCATTATCGGTACAGATCAGGAGTTCAAAAAATATTTTCGGGGTTTAACATTGATTGATTAATATATAATCTGGTAACTAAAATTTAATTTTGGGGACCAAATACTTAGATTTGGTGACCAATTGCCCGATTAATTTCGCAAATGGGATTCTTACATACATTAAGAGGTAATTGGCACTTTACAATAAGGCGCTGTAGTTAGACATATTAGAGTTTATTGTAGATATAGTATTTTCAATTCGCTGTTAGTAAATTAACTTAAAATGTTCATGTCTAGCCTCTAAATGATTCATTAAATTCGTGTAACCTGTTCCATTTAATCGGTTGTGATCGGGAAGGCATAAATTACAATGATGCTTGCTGTCATCTGCAGGTTTAAAAAAACTTTGATGTAGCACTTATTCGAAACTTTTGTACTCATTGGAATAGATTTAAAAAATAGCAACTTAGGATAATAATGCGTCTTTAAAAAGAAATGCAAGTTGTCAGGTTGTTAAAAAGAAAGAAATCACTCGATAGTATGATTTTGTTCAGACTGTTAAAAAGAAACAAATTACTTGATTTTTTATTCAATTGCGTATAAGACTATTTTACAATTTTTTGACGTCAAGATCAGTAAATATACTTTCATGTATGAATTATTACACATTTTGCAAAAAAATTACAATTAATTGATTAATTGTGGCTGCGCCACCGATTAATTAATTGAGTTCAAATAATTGCAATTAATTGCCTCCAAATTACACCTGTTTTTTACACTATTGGCCGACTTGCCAAATTAACGATTTCATCAAAGTAATTTAATGAAGAAGATCCTCTATTTCAAGGTAAGCGATGTTAACTCCGATATAGTAGAGGATGACGGCGACCAATAATACTATGACTATAAAAAAAATCGGAGTTTAGTAAAGATAAAAAAGGAAATATAAATAACTACAATAAAAACTTACTTGAAACATAACCAATTCCCCAAGAATTACTTTCGGTTTTGGATTGGGTAATAGTAACTTGACTATTAAGAGCAGATTGATCCAAGTCCGATGACGGTGGAGGGCAATCTGAACAATCGTTATCGATGTATTCATTAGGGCGACCAGTAATATCATTATCATTTTTTCTTTCGTATTTAAATGTTTCATACAAAAAATCTTTAGTTGATGATGTAATCGATGGAACAAATTCCGGTTCAGGAAATGATGCAGGAACTATTTGAGTCTTTTCAGCCGTGTGTTGTTGTTGCTGCTGCTGTTGCTGTTGGTCATTATTAATATGGTCTTGAATGTTTGATGTCTTCGCTGAATTAATATCATCGGCAACGTAACCATAGGTACTTAAACCATGGTGTCGATCGCTAATATCTTGCGAACCAAGTACGCTCCATGACCTATCGGAAGCTTGAGAAGGATAATAATGCTGTAGTTTATCATCATCAAAGTCATTGGCGAGCATACTCCACGAACGTTCACTTTGAAAGGTTGGTGGAAAAGAATGTTGTTGATATTCTCCAAGTTTAAAAAAAAAAAAAAATAAAGAAAGTTTGGTAAATTTTTAAACTAAACTTTCAAGAGACTGAAATTGAAATTGAAATTAAAATTGAAATTAATTGATAAATAAATACCTTGAGACATTATTTTAGAATTTTAAAAAACCTTTAATTAATCCTATCTTCGACTCAGTTTTCGTCAAAATTTATCGTAGATTATAGAATTGTAAAGAAAGAAAATTCAGAAAGAATTTGAAAATTGATGTAATCACAAGCGATGAATCATAGAAAAAAAAAAAAGGAATTTGAATTTTTCGTGAAATTTTTGGGGAGTTTGCGAAATTCACTGGGTTTATATCAAATCAAAATCAACAAATTTGATGTAATGGTTTTTTATATGGTTTATATGGTATCATGTAGATTTAATACCACCAACACTGATTCGACAGTTGATTCAATAGCTAATAACAGATTTAATTTAACATACTAACACATAAGTATATGTATATATATATATATAATTTTTTAAGTAAGTAAACCATATAAAAAATATATCCTTATATATTTGAAGGTTTATTTTATTTATTTATATGTGACTTTTTGTTTATAGGTCATAAGGTCAAAACTTGTCAAATATGTGTAGATATGTGCTAGATTACGCAGCAAACAATAAAAAATTGTACTTTTTTGGTTAAGTACAATATTATTTTTATTTAATACAAAATCTTAATACCGATACCGATAGAGTAAAAAAATTTGGTTAAAAAAAGAGTTATATGATATAGTACAGAATGGAAGGCTCGGAGTTTTTTTTAAAGCTTATCGGGTTTCAATTTTGATTTTCATTTTTGATAAGTTTATATTACAACATCAAAAGACTGTATTTAACATAAAGTTGTATGATTAATATCTTTATCATTTATTTATGTCTAAAGACTGATCGAAAAGTCTGTTCGATCACTTAGCATTTTATTATGCTATATAAATTTTTTTGAATTACTTTTTCTTATCAATTAAAAGATTACTTTTTTTTTCAAAGATAAACTGCTATATTAAATTCCCTCTCGGGGATTCTTCAATGCTCCCATGCATTGTTATTATTTCCGATTCTCATGAATTATGATTTTATGCATACTTATTTCTTTTTTTCCGCTTATGTTTGATGCCTTTTAAAAAAAACGTAGACTAAAGCAAGTTTGTCAAACAATGCCAATGTTATCATATTTAGAAACAAATTTCTTGTGTCCAAATATTGACCCCGCTTCCTTAATGTTACCAAGCTATAACGATATCCTATAACGATATCTCGTTTCATTTTAAACGATATCTCGTTTCATTTAAATGTATAGCTTAAATCGGAAATTATAGTCAACAATTATCTCCTATAAATAGCCATTCCACCAAATAGTCATTCTGCAGGGACTATCTTCTGACTCTCTACGTATCGTCATAGGAACTACACCACCGCATTTAATCTTTTCTTACCTCAAGCTTCCCATGGTTCAATCCACTCAAGCTCACTTTTGCTAAAGTCTTTTCTCTAGATTTTGTACATCATCCTCTTGTTATTTTTCTGTGTAACTTACCTTATTTTCTCCATTAAATGCTTTATGAGACTGCGGATGCGATGGTGCATCCGTGCTGCGCGTTGTATAATTTCTTTTTCGTGCAGGTTGTTTGTATATGTGAGAGATAAGATCTTCAAGATTAAAGGAGATGTAAACTCCGTGCATATTGAATACCTACGTATGTACGTACGAACGTACGTACGTACGTACATATGTACGTACGTGCGCACCCACTTTTCCACAACCACAAATGGCACAAATGGGCAAGCGATCCCAAAGCAATGCGACGTAAAATATGGCCGTACGGATCTGCGTCACTTGCTACTATAAAAGTAATTTAAGGAGTTAAGGGAACACGTCAACCATCGTTATTAGTATGGTGGTGGTACTTTTGAAAATAAATTGCACCTCCTCGATGAATATGAAAAAGGCATTACAGAACTATAAAGCTATGCTTTTTTTTAATTTCTATTAAGGAGTTACAATTTTAGATTTCTTTAGTTGATTTGCTCCATAAATTGATAAAAATGAATGATTTAAAACAAAGCAATAGGTTAATCTCACCATTCTTTTATCATATTTGTCTGATGATCATTTATAATAACGCATATGTGGAGATGATTTCAATTCAGTTCACGAATGACTATAGTTCGGTGGGTTCGTTTCGTGTAAGAAAATTGAAATGATGTCAAACAGGTTCTTTTATTCTGCATTTCACAATTTCGACTAATGATCAATCCTCAAGTTTGGACCGTTTCCTTTATTGATTCATCAAAGTATCGATACGTACACAAATTGTGAAAGCAAGAAAGGTTTGCAATTATATTTATATACAATCTATTATAACCAATCCATTGTCTCATCTTTTCGTTATATCCTGATTTTTAAATCCACTAAACTTTTTGCAAAATTGTCAAACATGCATGCTGCATGCACCAACTTTTCTTAACGTTGTTAATTTTTTCCTTAATATTTATTTTATTAATATTCTTTTTTTATCCGCGTAACCATGATGATCTTAGAATTCAGATACCATTAGTATATATGCTTTAACTTTCTAATTTCTTCACTCTAATATTAAACTCATTTCTATGAGCAGCTAACTGTTAATTCCTTATTCTATGTCCATATATGAAAGCTGTCAAGTGAAAACCAACCTTTAAGTTTATAATGTAACGGACTCCAACATATACAATGCATAATTATATTCATTAATCGGATTTTTCAGGGTTAAATCCGTTCTTAAAATTATTTTTTGTGCATAATTTATAAAATTTAAATCTTTTACAATTTTGATCGGCCTGATTATCAATATGTAATCGGAGAAGAGTGAAAAAATATAACATTTATTCATTATCAAAAAATCTGCAGGTGTGAATAATGCAGAAATTGGTGTTTAAATATTGTACTGCATATGTGCATGTTGCATTCATACATTATCAAATATAGTATTAATGAAGCACAAATAATTTATCTTATATAGTTATATATAGTTATAAATATATATTACCAACTTTTGTTTATCATGACTATTGAAATTTATAAACCATATATATAGTGTAAAATAACTAATATGATAAAATTACTTTTTTTCAACTATTGTAAGTCTTGTTATTATTGTAAGTATTGTAAAGATTTCCTATTTCCCTTTCATACTGCTATCATTGCTTAAAATAACCCTGATATACAGAGACTATTATAAAATATACTGTAGTTTAATAGTTCGATCACGGATCAATCATGATAATTTGACGCACGTACATACGTACGTGTACACGTAAAAAATCTACATCCATTGGTTTTTCTGAAAACATTACATGATCGTGCATTTACTTGACTAACTGAAAGGGTTTTCGCTTTGTTTCAGATAATATGCATATACTGTATATATAATTTTGACACAATGATTCAAGGTTAAATTAAAAAACTAAACATTGATAATTGTATAAAGTTTTAGCTTAAAACCATTATACAGTGCATAACGGTAGTTGTTTTCTGTAAAGTTTTTCTCTTATAACACATAGTTGATTATATAAAGCATATAATTAATATAAATATTGTTTTCCAAATATTAATTGTTCAGATTATTAATCGGAGTATTTTAAATACTAATCTACCAAATTAATCTAAATATCCAATCTAAAAATTTCTTTGTTTAAATTAATACTATATATAGCTTAGACCAGATTGGATATTTAAAACAAATTAATATTTGAAATTTAAATGTTTAAATTAAAAAAGTTTTATACAAGATTATCAGTGTTGGCAAATAGAACAATAGAACAAAAACTCAATTTTTTGTCTTTATATAAAAAAATTTTTTATTAATAATTTGCAATTATTTAAACATATATTATTAGAGCATTAGTAAAGTAATAAATTTAAAATATTTTATATTTAATTAGTAAAATTTAATACTCAAAATTTACAATAGAAAAATAAAAAAAATGAATAAAATTAGAAGCCAATAGAAAAAACATAAATATGATTTTGAATATTTTATATAATAATTAGTATAATATTATCAAATTTTATTAGTTAAATTTATTAGTTAAACTTGTTTATATTATTATATTTTATTAGTCAATTTTTATTAGTTAAATTTTTTTAGTTATTTTTATTATATATTTATTACAATATATTTTCTTTTATTTTTTTTTTATAATTCAGCAGTCCTGCCACTTTTTATTTACAGATTAACTATATTAAGAAATTTACATTCCCTAATAATAGCTATACTAATCCACCTGATAAGTAGCTTACCCATGTTTTCGCTATATATAACTTGCCTCAGTGGACTTCAAGCCTCTCTTCAGGCCCCTAACTTACTAGAAGTTATCCTTTGGTCATGGGTTGGTGCCACACACCATATCAAAGTTAGCTTTTCTTCTTCCAAAATAAAATACAAACACAAATGTAAAGAGTAAAATAAAAATAAGGAAATACTATAGCATCGAGTTCTGGTTCACCTAAATCAATAAATCAAATAAAACAAATAATGAAAAAAAAACAAAGAAAAGAAACAAAGATAGCTTTATTAAACCTGTGCTAGATTATAAAAATTATATAGTATTACAAATAAACTAGACTAAACTCTATGTTAGTTATTTATGTTTATATCCAGGATGTAAAAATATTAAAAACCATTTAGTCTTAAAGTAGAGCTTCAAGGTCAAAACTTTTAGTGTTATTCCAACTAGGTCAGCGGATCTTCTGCAGTATTTCAAACATTATCACATTATCTGACACTATTTATCCCAAAGTAGACACATATATGTATACGTGACTTTTTTTTTCGGCAGCTGTTACTGTGTCGATCTTTTGTTGGGGGTATGCTGTTTTTCTCACTTTTTGATGAAAATTTCGAAAAGTGCAAAGAGTAGAGTTTAGTAGAAGGT